TTACTTTAATACACATATACAGTACCAGTCAAAACTATGAAATAACACATACGGAATCATGTAGTAACCAAAAATGTGTTAAACAAATCAAAATATATTTTATATTTGAGATTCTTCAAAGTAGCCACCCTTTGCCTTGATGACAGCATTGCACACTCTTGGCATTCTCTCAACCAGCTTCATGAGGTAGTCACCTGGAATGCATTTCAATTAACAGGTGTGCCTGGTTAAAAGTTAATTTGTGGAATTTCCTTCCTTCTTAATGCGTTTGAGCCAATCAGTTGTGTTGTGACAAGGTAGATGTAAATGTAGGGGGGTATACCGAAGATGGCCCTATTTGGTAAAATACCAAGTCCATATTATGGCAAGAAGTTTCTTCAAGTGCAGACGCAAAAACCATCAACCGCTATGATGAAACTGGCTGTCATGAGGACCACCACAGAAAAGGAAGACCCAGAGTTACCTCTGCTGCAGAGGATAAGTTCATTAGAGTTAACTGCACCTCAGATTGCAGCCCAAATAAATGCTTCACAGAGTTCAAGTAACAGACACATCTCAACATCAATTGTTCAGAGGAGACTGCGTGAATCAGGCCTTCATGGTCGAATTGCTGCAAAGAAAACACTACTAAAGGACACCAATAAGAAGAAGAGACTTGATTGGCCAATAAACACGAGCAATGGGCATTAGACAAGTGGAAATCTGTCCTCTGGTATGATGAGTCCAAATTGGAGATTTTTGGTTCCAACCGCCGTGTCTTTGTGAGACGCAGAGTAGGTGAACGGATGATCTCCACATGTGTGGTTCCCATCGTGAAGCATGGAGGAGGAGGTGTGATGGTGTGGAGGTGCTTTGCTGGTGACACTGTCTGTGATTTATTTAGAATTCAAGGCACACTTAACCAGCGTGGCTACCACAGTATTCTGCAGCAATACGCCATCCCATCTGGTTTGCGCTTAGTGGGACTATCATTTGTTTTCAACAGGACAATGACACAAAACACACCTCCAGGCTGTGTAAGGGCTATTTGACCAAGAAGGAGAGTGATGGAGTGCTGCATCAGATGACCTGGCCTCCACAATCACCTAATCTCAACCCAATTGAGATGGTTTGGGATGAGTTGGACCGCAGAGTGAAGGAAAAGCAGCCAACAAGTGCTCAGCATATGTGGGAACTCCTTCAAGACTGTTGGAAAAGCCTTCCTCATGAAGCTGGTTGAGAGAATGCCAAGAGTGTCCAAAGCTGTCATCATGACAAAGGGTGGCTACTTTGAAGAATCTAAAATCTAAAATATATTTTGATTTGTTTAACACTTTGTTGGTTACTACATGATTCCATATGTGTTATTTCATAGTTTTGATGTCTTCACTATTATTCTACAATGTAGAAAATAGTAGAAAATAAAGAAAAGCCCTTGAATGAGTAGGTGTGTCCAAACTTTTGACTGGTATTGTATGTGAATTTGTCCCAATACTTTTGGTTCCCTAAAATGGGGGGACTATGTACAAGAAGTGCTTCCTAAACCGTTCACCCGATATGGATGACAATACTCTCAAATTAAAGCTGACAGTCTGCATTTTAATCTCATAGTCATTGTTTGATTTCAAATCTAAACTTTTGGAGTATAGAGCCAAAATAAGAAAAAATGCTTCACTGTCCCAATAATTTCTGAGGGCACTGTATATAAAACACAGGAAAATAATGTTTTTGACTGCACTGGGCCTTTAAGAGCCAGCCATGTAGGGCATGCTGTGTGTATCCTGCAGGCCCAAGGCACAAGTAGTGCGAGTAAGAGAAGTGGAAAGAGATGTAGAGCTCAGGCCTCTGGGACGTTACCTGCGGGCTACGGAGGCTCTTGCTCTCCTTAGTTGTGGGGAGAGTGGCGATACTGAGGCAAAGGCAGCAGGCTGCTGACAATCTATGAGAAACTGATACATTAGACAGATATACAGAGTGGTGACAGTCAGGGTTAGTGGGACAGACGGACACACGTGTGGACAAGACAGGAGGAAAGACTTGTCAGGGACAGAGAGACACACTGGCCTTGTCATGTAATAACTCAACATGTCTGAGGAGAGGACGTCAGGTGTGAAACATTTTGCTCTCTTTCGGAGTATTACATTAGAGCATATGGCATTATAGTATTTATGCTTTTAGTAATCTTTCTTGTAAGCACTTTAATTTGATTGGAATATCACATTTTGGAAGTTAACATCTTCCTGTAATACAGTCCATTTGAGTTAATACAATATACGCTGTTTTTTAAATGATTTATTTATCTAGAAAGTAAATTAATAATGATTTCTACAGTCTGACATACCACAGAAGGTAATATTGTGTGAGAATGGTTATTCATGTTTATATAAGTGTGAGAAAGAAAGAAAGAGAAAGGGAGAGAGAAAGAGAGAGAGAGAGAGAGAGAGAGAGAGAGAGAGAGAGAGAGAGAGAGAGAGAGAGAGAGAGAGAGAGAGAGAGAGGGAGAAAGAGAGCTCTCTGTTCATTTTGCAAGACCAATAATGGGCTTGTGCATCACTGAATGACTGCTCGTTATTTAAAACCACATCTGACCCAACTGACAAGGCATTCCTCTATCCATCTCCTGAGGAGGATGGACAGCACTATTAACGTACACTCACAAGGAAACACAGACACACATAGAACATTTACGCCCTGGCGTTACAAGCGCCGTGCTCTACCAGCTGAGCTACAGAGGACCACAAGTAGTAATCAACTACTGCTCATGTCAGGCTATGGGCTAAAAACAAATCAGCATATTTAGATCAGATCAGATGTTATAATATCATACACAAATATAACACATGACTTAATGAATGAATGAATGACCCTGCAGCCTTGGGTTTTATTTTTATAGAGTCAAAGTCCAACCAATGTTATGTCACAGGGATTGGAGCTGAATGTACATGGGCATTCTTCACCTCTTTTTGTGTCAATAAAAATATTTGACCATTGTAGGAGCCAAAAACCAATAACCACAGAGAGGTCAGTGTGAGAGGTAACTGGTTATCTAAGGTAGGAACATGAGGGCCAAACAGCATTTGACAGGAATGATTTGTTGGGAATTGTTAAGACACTGCCATCTGCTGGAACTAATGGCATGGGCTTAGGGTTGCTTTGGGGTGCTTTTCAGGGCGTGTTATTTTCAGGGTGTGGTATGAGCGTAGTAGGCCTGGGTGTGTGGTTAGGGTATCACAGAGAGGAGGTCACACTGGTTTCCATGCTGCTCTGAATGGTTTATCTGCATTTAAACCATTTATATATTTCCTCCTAGATCGGACTGAGCAAAGTCACGTGCATGTCACAACAAAAATCTATCAACACTGACAGAAAAAGCATGATAGATCAGTCTCTCAGTTTGTCTCGCATACGCACATGCACACACACACACACACACACACACACACACACGCACGCACGCACGCACGCACACACACACATACACACACACACATTATGTGTTTGCTATGTTTTCTATATTCATTATAGACTAATGTCACAAGGAACAAGGAAGTCAAGCTGTACTGTACTTAGTATAATGTAGAGAAGGGACAATGGATTGTGGCACTGAATAGGTCTCTGAAATCAGGTTGATCTTGGTCAGCCAGTGTACCTCTGTAGATAAGTAGAAGGGACTTCTGTCAAATGCTTTTTGCTCCAGAGTTGTGGAAAATTGAAGACTAATATTATATCATGGCTTGAAAATGTTAATCAACCACAGGGAATTCAAACTAGAATGATTCCTTGAAATCTTTCTGATGACATGAATAATAATATGATTTGCAGTGTTTAACTGATAGACTGTGTGTCAGAGGCTGCGTTTACACCACTAATTGGTATTTTGACCAATCACATCAAATATTTTCACGTCAGATCTGAATGGTCAAAATACCAATTAGTGAAAAAAATATCAGAATTGGGCTGCCTGTGTAAACGCAGCCAGAGAAGTACAGTAAGGTGGCCTACATAGTAAAGTACTGTGGAGAAATAGATAAGGTTCCTTTGTATCATTTGCATCGCTGCCATCTCTGCTTTACAAAGAAAGATTCCAAAAGATTTAAACAAGGTTTTATATTTTCTGTGGCAAACATTCATAGGGATAGACCAGAGGAGGCTGGTGGGAGGAGCTATAGGAGGACAGGCTCATTGTAATGGCTGGAATGGTATCAAACACATCAAACATATGGAAACCAAATGTTTGACTCCGTTCCATTTAACCCATTCCAGACATTACAATGAGCCCGTTCTCCTATAGCTCCTCCAACTAGCCTCCACTGGGATAGACTGAGGAACTCCAATGGCTATCAATGTGTTTCAGCTGTAACTGTGTAAATCAGCCACTGAGTGGCACCATGGGTCAATGAGGCCCACAGTACACAGTGTAGCTCTGCACACAGTCTATGGATGGTTGGAAAAAGTAACGCGTATATTGACTACAAACATACTTTGATCATATGCAGTGAATACAACAGGGAAAGTCAATTGCCTAAGAATGTTATTAGCCATTGGAAAAATAATTTGGTTGTGTGATACGAGAAGTAGGCGACAGCACTTAACTTCTACTCTATATGCCAAGGGTGGGAAATACATCGTCTTATACCACATCAAATATCTCCAAAATGTACAAGTATCCCTCACACTATCTTAGCTTATTAAACACGACAAATCCTCATAAAACAGTTACTAAAATTCAACTTTATTTTTCATTATAACTTCACATTTACTAGTATATTTATCACATATATTTCATTTATTCCCTAAATCCCTTTATTTACAGAAATGGACAATAGCAACTGTGGTGCCTTATGAGCCCAATACTACAAACAGACTGTTGAGTATTGTCTGCAGATGGAACAAGCTGTGTTGGGCTCCTTCTCATAGCCAATCCCTGAGAAGAGTGTCACAGTACTGCATAGGCATAGGTCAAGCCAGACACAGGAAACAGGAAACCAGTCTGTCCTCCTCTCTGTTTCCCACCCAACCCCTCAGGGCTGGGGCATCTGGGAACTGTAGGCGCGAGGGACAGGGTTGCTGGGAGATGTGGCCAGAGCAGAGGGGCGAGGTGCATCTTTTTGTGTACGAGTTCTCACCGACCCTGGCGACAAGTGTTTCCAAGTCTTGGGAATGGGTGAGCGGTAGGGAGACGCGGGGGCAGAGCTAGTAGAGTGCAGACCGGAGTCTCGACTGTTAACGAGTCGACAGAACTCTAAACTCAGCGACTCTGGGTCAATAATGAAGGTCTGAGTGCCTAGGGACCACTGGGGGTGACCCAGGGGAGGCAGGGAGGAGAACTGGGATGTGGCCGACCAGGGGTTGGAGGACAGTGGCAGCTCCAGGGAGGGAGGGCTGCAGAGGGTCATGGAGGTGTTGAAGGGATGGGAGCAGGTGGAGGAAGGGCTGTGTATCATGGTGGGGCTGGGGGGAGCGGTGAGAGCGGCTCGTCGACTTACTTTGGGCTGGCTGCTCTTGATCTTGGGCACCTTGGTGCCGCGGCCACGGTCCCTGGTCTGCTCGTGGTCAAACTCTAGGTCCTCCAGGCGTTGGGTCAAGGCCAGCTTCTGCTGGATGGCCATGCGGAGCAGGGAGTTCAGAGTCTTCTTCTCATCCTCCGCCGCTGCCAGCTGTCTCTGCATCTCATCCAGCTGAGTCACGTACTCATCACACCTAGGAGAGAAAGAGAGAGAGATAGAGAGAGGGAGAGAGTCAGAAAGAGAGAGAGAGAGTGAGAGCGAGAGACAGAGAGAAAGAGACAGAGTCAGAGCGAGACAGACAGAGAGAGACAGAGAGAGTGAGAGTGCGAGTGAGAGAGAGCGAGAGAGAGAGAGAGAGAGAGAGAGAAAGAGGAAGAGGGACATAGTCAGTAAACTAAGAAACACTGTTGTGCAAGCCGGGGAATACACTGTGAGATCAAACTCATCATCTTTGCACAGTCTTACACATCTGTGTTGTAATTAGCTGCATGAGATCCCAGAATGCCCCTCACCTGGTGGCAAACATGGCCCTGAGAGAGGAGAAGGTGGCGGCGTCCTCCTTCAGAGCCTTCAGCTCGTTCCTCAGCTTCATCATGGTCTCTGTCACCATGCACTTCTCATTCTCATACTTGCTCTTTAGATTAGCAAGTGCCACCTCTGCAGTCTGGAATAGAGAGTGAGTTAATTTCAAGATAACAGATTATAAACATGTGGATTCGACTTTATATCTCTACCATAAAAACAGGTCTAATTTAATGCTCTATGCAAAGGAACATTGATCAAACCTGTTAGAGAATGCTGAAAACAATGTGATGACATTCCCAGGTAGTGGCCTAGTCCCAGATCTGGAACCATAGGTACTCAACCCTAGTGTTCTGCTCACCTGTTTGTTGGCTTTGAGCACCAGTCTGAGTGTGGCGATCTGCTCCCTCTTGGTGCTGAGGAGGGACTTGAGCTTGAGGATCTCCTCCATGCAGGCCTCCTTGTCCTTGTCGAACAAGGGGGCTAGCTCCCGGGCTGCTGCCCTCTGTCGAGACAGCTGGAGGGAGCGGTCCACGGCCCTCTGCAGGTGTTTGATCTGGTCCCTGATGATGGCGTTCAGGTTGTAGATGTTCATGGGCTCCTTACGCAGGTCTCCAGTTGCCTCGGGAGGCACGGGGGAGGAGGAGGGAGAGCCATTAGTGCCGTTGATGACCGGGGAGCCCATGGGGATGCGGGTGGGGCTCCCCTGGCTGCCTGGTGCAGGTGACTCCCTCCCTGTTGTCCCATTGTCCCCACTGGGGGGTTCTTTGGAGGGCGAGTCCATGGGGCTCTGGGGGGCCTCGGAGAATCCGGCGTTGACAGCGGCGAGGCGTCTAGCCAGGCGAGGGGAGAGGAGTGCCCGGGGGTCCTCAGAGCCCTTGAGGCTGCCACTGCGGGTGTTACGGCTCTGGCGGTAGTAGTCCAGCATGACGCGGTTGGGCGTCTCATTGTTGCAGAGACACACGTGGTGGTAGAGCTGGGCCAGCTCCTCGCTGAATGTCCCCAGCTCATCCTGCGCCGTGTTCAGCATGCTGTGGCTCTCTATGGCCACACCCGTCGCCGTCTGTAGTTCTGCCTCCAAACACGCCACCCTATCGTCGGCCTCGCGGCAGCTCTGCTCCAGCCGGTTGACCTGCTCGTCCAGAGCCTGGACCTTCCCATCGCTGCTGCTCCGCTCCTCCCCCTGGCCCTCCACACACTGGTTATAGTTCTCCTTCAGAGCTTTTAGCTCCGCCTTCAGGTCGATCACCTCGGTTACTGCCACCTTGTACTTACACTCCAGGATGTCCATACCGTGTATGTCCACCTCGTAGTCGCGGTGACCGGGCGAGGGCAACCCGTTAGGCTTCTCAGACTCCTGGGCATCAGCCATCTCCTTGTCACTGTGGAGGCGCTTCATGGTGTTGACACGCTCGGTGAGGTGCTGGACGTGCTCGTGCTGCTCCGTCAGGGCGCTCTGCATGTGCTGCAGCTGGGTCTGGGACTCCTGCAGGTTCATCAGGAGGCTTGATTTCTCACGCTCCACCTAGAGGACGGGAGGACATACTGCAGGGTGAGGACCACTCAGACCAGACCAGCATTACCACAGACACAGTACTGTTTAATGTATTTGTGATCAGTCATCGTATCAGAGGAGCGCTGAGGCTTTGAATCTCTATTGATCCCCAATTGGAGGAGGCCCAGGGAAACAAAGTAAAATAAATTATTTAAGAAAGTTTAGAAGCAGTCGAACAGCGAAACTTTAAATTAGTTCAGCAGTACAGTACGCTAGTCCCATAAATAACCCTGTCTGACTAGTGTGTGTGTGTGTGTGTGTGTGTGTGTGTAGGTTGCCACCTGGGACCACAGATTTCACCTATTAGAACTGCACCACAGATCAGGTGAGCTGAGAGATTTCCACTCCACACCCTGTGATACCTGGCAGGAGGTCGCTTGAAAGAACAGAATATTGTGTCTTATCATTTTGTGTCTCTGTCCTCTGACCAGACAACACCCTATAAATACAAAGGTACTGTACAGTCCCAGGTTATCTACACGTCTCTACGGACAGAGATAAAGATACAATACAAAGCTCAATCTGTAAATTCATACACAGAACTGATCCATTGATCTGTATGCATAGTCATAGCATCAGCCATCAGAGATGTCATTTTTCACCCAATGAGAAAAAAGAGGTGTGGAGGCCTCTCAGTAGATATGTAACAGGAATTATAAGCCACTTTTATGTCTTCTTTTTATACTAAATGTTTATCTCGTATTTTATATGGTTACCTTTGAGGTTAAATTGAGTGAGTTTAATGTAATGCTTGTTGGGAACAGATATAAATTACAGCACAGTGAGGATGATAAATTAAAGCCGCCCTCTCCTGAAAGCAATTAAGAGCCTGGTGTTGTTTAATTTAGGGACTTAATGGAACCGTGATTAATCCAAGAGAGAATTAATCCGTGATTAATCCATTTAAAGAGAAATTCAAACCTCTACAGTAATAAAGTTTGGATCCACAAATGTAATCATTCATTTCCCCACTGACCTGAGCAAGAACAATAAGCAAGCTTTCTATTCATTGCTAGGCATTCTCTTAAACAGTACAGCGTCCCCATGGCACACGCCGTACTCCTCCACTCCTCCACTCTACCGTTCTACTCTCCCCCCGCTAGCGTTACTACATGTCCCCACAATCAGCAAAATCAGCCCCAATGGCCCTTCTGAGACGGAAGTCTTTTGAGTTGAAAATAGCTCTGAAACTAGTCATATAAAGCCATTGGTAAATCATAAGGAGCGTGGTCACAGACTTATGGTCTGTTAGAGAATAAAAGATGGGGGGGGTCTTGTTCTCAAAATGTCATCACCTTGTCATTGGTTGGCTGCAGGCTGCAGTACTAAGATGACAGGACGGTTGTAATCAGAGGGCCAGGTTGTTAGGTTGTCAAATGATGCTGGTGAGACACTCCCATTCCTTAATGAAATGTTCTGTGGACAGAGGAGGTCGATAACAGTCTCCTAATGCATTGGGTGTGTAAATCGCTGTTTTTTTCTCTCTAAGTAAACCACAGTGATTTGCTCAGAGCAAATGAGGAAGGTGGTCGGATGAAGGATATTAAAACAAGACCCTGGTACAAACTCCCTGGAACATTGTCTCAACAATAACCTAGCCTGGTCCCAGATCTGTTTGTGCTGTCTTACCAACTTCTATGGTCATTGTCATGCCAAACATCACAATGACCATAGAAGTTGGCAAGACAGGACAAACAGATCTGGGACCTGGCTAACAATGACTCAGCTATGGTAGTGAGAAGAACACACTATGTCTCTCAAACGTTCATCTAGACTAGAGACCCACCTGAAGCAGCTGCTTTTTGACTTTCTGCATCTCAGACAGGTTGAGCTCGCTGAAGAGGTCAGACACAGGACCATGCAGCCCCTCCCCCTTCCTGGGCAGCCGGTAGTCGGCGTTCATCTTAGCCAATCCCAGGTGTCCATTACAGTGGCCGTTGCTATCCTCATTCCCGTTGGCGCCATTGGGCATGGCTGTACCATTACTCCCAACCTCTTCGGTGGCAAATTTGAGCCCGTCGACAGTGGCGGTGAGAGCCAGGTGGGCTCCGGCCCCGTACACACTGTCACTGAGGGTGATGTGGTGGGCCAGTTCCTTCCTCAGGCTGTTCTTCTGTTCCCTCTCAATCTTCAGGGCGTCCAGGGCCTCCTCCAGCTGGGACTGAGAGATGTCCTTCAGACGCAGAGCGTCCTCCAGCTGGCTGTTCAGCAGCACCGTCTCCTCCTCCAGAACCTTGATCTCATGCTTCAGACCCTCGTACTCCACCTGGGGGAGAGGAGGAGCAGGGGACAGGGGACAGACAGATAGAGTGAAGGGAACACACATATAGAGGACAGACAGACAGAAAGGACAGGAAGGACACAGATAGAGGATAGGGTTAAGTAAAGTACATTGTAAGTAGGTTTAAGATATTTAGATATTACTGCACTGTCGGAGATAGAAGCACAAGCATTTCGCTACACCCGCAATAACATCTGCTAAACACGTGTATGTGACAAATAAAATTTGATTTGATTTGATTTAAGGTCAGACAATAAGGAACTTGGCTGTGCTGATTCTACATTTGAGTAACATCATTAGGTATGACTGTGTGTGAGTCACTGTAAGATGTATTGATGACCAGTCCCTCCAGGATTCTGCGATCGCATTTATTTTTGAAAAATCAACAATTCCCGCATATTACGCGAGGGCTTGCAAATTTGACCATGCAAAATGCCAGAATGTAAGAATTGCCGCAGCGAAATAAAGCATTTTTGTCGCACATATCACAAAAAATCCCTGCGAAATCCTGAAGGGACTGGATGACTGTCTGTGTGTGTGTGTGTGTGTGTGTGTATGTGTGTGTGTGAGGTGAACAATAAGGTTAATGGCTAACAGACAGGTGTGGCTGGCTGTACTGTGTGTGCAGCAGAGGAGTCTGGTGGGAGGAGCTATAGGAGGATGGGCTCATTGTAATGGCTGGAATGGAATGAATGGAACAGTATCAAACATATGGAAACCACGTTTGACTCCGTTCCATTCATTCCATTCCAGCCATTACAATGAGTCCATCCTCCTATAGCGCCTCCCACCAGCCTCCTCTGATGTGCAGTAAACCATAAACAGTAATGATGTTGATGCTGACCTGGTTCTGTTTGAGGGTGGACACTAGTTTCTGCAGGGTGATGTTCTCCTCCTCCAGCTCAGTGTAGTCCTGTAGGAGTCGCGCCTCTCTGAACTTATACTCCCTGATCTCCTCTCTCATCCTGCTCCGCTGCAGCTCCAGCATCTCATTACTCTGGGAGTAGAAAGGAAAGAGGGATGGAAGGACAGTCAGGTCATAATCTGCAAGCAATTCAACAGATCAATATACTGTATACATAGCCTTCAGAAAGTATTCAAACCCCTTGACTTATTCCACATTTTGTGAAAAGAAGTAAAACATCTTTTTTGCAAATGTATTGAAAATGAAATACAGAAATATATCACAGTCTCAAAGAAAACCATTAGTAACACACTACGCCGTCATGGATTAAAATCCTGCAGCGCACGCAAGGTCCCCCTGCTCAAGCCAGCGCATGTCCAGGCCCATCTGAAGTTTGCCAATGACCATCTGGATGATCCAGGGTAGGAATTTGGAGAAGGTCATGTCGTCTGATGAGACAAAAATAGAGCTTTTTGGTCTAAATTCCACTCGCAGTGTTTGGAGGTAGAAGAAGAATGAGTAAAACCCCAAGAACACCATCCCAATCGTGAACCATGGAGGTGGAAACATCATTCTTTGGGGATGCTTTTCTGCAAAGGGGACAGGACGACTGCACCGTATTGAGGGGAGGATGGATGGGGCCATGTATCGCGAGATCTTGGCCAACAACCTCCTTCCCTCAGTAAGAGCATTGAAGATGGGTCGTGGCTGGGTCTTCCAGCATGACAACGACCCGAAACACACAGCCAGGGCAACTAAGGAGTGGCTCCGTAAGAAGCATCTCAAGGTCCTGGAGTGACCTAGCCAGTCTCCAGACCTGAACCCAATAGAAAATCTTTGGAGGGAGCTGAAAGTCCGTATTGCCCAGCGACAGCCCCGAAACCTGAAGGATCTGGAGAAGGTATGGAGGAGTGGGCCAAAATCCCTGCTGCAGTGTGTGCGAACCTGGTCAAGACCTACAGGAAACGTATGATCTCTGTAATTGCAAACAAAGGTTTCTGTACCAAATATTATGTTCTGCTTTTCTGATTAATCAAATACTTATGTCATGAAATAAAATGCTAATTAATTACTTAAAAATCATACAATGTGATTTTCTGGATTTTTGTTTTAGATTCCGTCTCTCACAGTTGAAGTGTACCTATGATAAAAATTACAGACCTCTTTGTAAGTAGGAACACCTGCAAAATCGGCAGTGTATCAAATACTTGTTCTCCCCACTGTACATCACAGAAGACTGAAATATAACAAAACTGTTTGACATAGAAACACCAGACTTTCGTTGTAAAAAATAATAATATCTTTATTAATTATGAAATTATGAAAAATGTTAATAACATTCCACCCATGAGGCCAAAGAGGGCACTTTTGACAAACAGATCAATAAAAACAACATGGGGCGGCAGGTAGCTTAATGGTTAAGAGCGTTGTACCAGTAACCGAAAGGTTGCTGGTTCTAATCCCAGAGCCGACTAGGTGAAAAATCTGTCGATGTGCCCTTGAGCAAGGCACTTAACCCTAATTGCTCCTGTAAGTCGCTCTGGATAAGAGCGTCTGCTAAATGACTAAAAATGTAAATGTAACATTGTCTGATCCATATAATAGGCCTACGAGAAGGGGAGACACAAATACAATATGACGTCCATCTAACCTGGAGGAGGAAATTATTGTCCAAAAACAAACTTTCAAGTGGCACTGACCCAACAATGATAAAATAGTAAATATGCGCATCCACCGGGGATATGGCCGATGCTCTCCGCTGGTGCCAATATCCTAAGATAGGCTATAGGCCTACTGTTCGCTCAATTAAGTTGAGAATTTTGATAACTAAAAGACAGATTAGAGTTTTTTCATTGTCTTCTCTTTACAGCAATAGCCATTTACTTTCCAAACTATGTTTTCCAGGGATTGTATTTTTAAATATTGTGATACGCCTGGCTGGGCCTCAATACTTTTCACTGATAGTCGCAACTCAACAATCATGTATTTGGTATTTGCTGTGCACGCTGCCCAAATTGCGGGCCCTTCCGACTTTAGGCAATGCGATTTAAAATAATCCACAGTAAAACCTTTTCCAATACGTTAATGATCCTCTGTGGCCAAATCATGCTTTCTGGTGTAGTAGCTTATTTTTTATGATTTGATTTATTTCTGTATAGACAGGAGTAGGCTAATTAGGTTATATAATTTTGGTAATTTCATTAAATTTACTTTAGGGGAAGCTTAGTGTTCTCATCGAACCACATCACATTTTGGAGCATAGGCTATACCACCCGTTTTCGTACATTCTTCATGCCTCTGACATGCGGTAATGATAAAAAGTTGTCTAATATCCTACAGTTTTCATGGCACTTTGTTTTAATTTTTGTGATAGGGTCATGTTTTACTGGTACGGCGTACCCCCACAAATTATTTTGCCGAGACGCGGTAACGGACCGTACCGCCTTACTTTCACCGCTGGCCATAACAAAGGGGTTGAATACTTATTGAATCAAGACATTTCAGTTTTTTTATTTAATTTATAAAAATTGCTAAAAACATAATTCCACTTTGACAATATGTGCTATTGTGTGTAGGCCAGTGACACAAAATCTAAATGTAATCCATTTTAAATTCAGGCTGTAACACAACAAAATGTGGAAAGAGTCAAGGGGTGTGAATACTTTCTGAAGGCACTGTATAATATACTGTATATACATTCACAATGCATGTTTATATAACATATAATAGTTTGCACTGACTATGTACAGTGGGGAAAAAAAGTATTTAGTCAGCCACCAATTGTGCAAGTTCTCCCACTTAAAAAGATGAGAGAGGCCTGTCATTTTCATCATAGGTACACGTCAACTATGACAGACAAAATGAGATTTTTTTTTCCAGAAAATCACATTGTAGGATCTTTTATGAATTTATTTGCAAATTATGGTGGAAAATAAGTATTTGGTCAATAACAAACGTTTCTCAATACTTTGTTATATACCCTTTGTTGGCAATGACACAGGTCAAACGTTTTCTGTAAGTCTTCACAAGGTTTTCACACACTGTTGCTGGTATTTTGGCCCATTCCTCCATGCAGATCTCCTCTAGAGCAGTGATGTTTTGGGGCTGTCGCTGGGCAACACAGACTTTCAACTCCCTCCCAAGATTTTCTATGGGGTTGAGATCTGGAGACTGGCTAGGCCACTCCAGGACCTTGAAATGCTTCTTACGAAGCCACTCCTTCGTTGCCCGGGCGGTGTGTTTGGGATCATTGTCATGCTGAAAGACCCAGCCACGTTTCATCTTCAATGCCCTTGCTGATGGAAGGAGGTTTTCACTCAAAATCTCACGATACATGGCCCCATTCATTCTTTCCTTTACACGGATCAGTCGTCCTGGTCCCTTTGCAGAAAAACAGCCCCAAAGCATGATGTTTCCACCCCCATGCTTCACAGTAGGTATGGTGTTCTTTTGATGCAACTCAGCATTCTTTGTCCTCCAAACACGACGAGTTGAGTTTTTACCAAAAAGTTATATTTTGGTTTCATCTGACCATATGACATTCTCCCAATCCTCTTCTGGATCATCCAAATGCACTCTAGCAAACTTCAGACGGGCCTGGACATGTACTGGCTTAAGCAGGGGGACACGTCTGGCACTGCAGGATTTGAGTCCCTGGCGGCGTAGTGTGTTACTGATGGTAGGCTTTGTTACTTTGGTCCCAGCTCTCTGCAGGTCATTCACTAGTTCCCCCCGTGTGGTTCTGGGATTTTTGCTCACCGTTCTTGTGATCATTTTGACCCCACGGGGTGAGATCTTGCGTGGAGCCCCAGATCGAGGGAGATTATCAGTGGTCTTGTATGTCTTCCATTTCCTAATAATTGCTCCCACAATTGATTTCTTCAAACCAAGCTGCTTAACTATTGCATATTCAGTCTTCCCAGCCTGGTGCAGGTCTACAATTTTGTTTCTGGTGTCCTTTGACAGCTCTTTGGTCTTGGCCATAGTGGAGTTTGGAGTGTGACTGTTTGAGGTTGTGGACAGGTGTCTTTTATACTGATAACAAGTTCAAACAGGTGCCATTAATACAGGTAACGAGTGGAGGACAGAGGAGCCTCTTAAAGAAGAAGTTACAGGTCTGTGAGAGCCAGAAATCTTGCTTGTTTGTAGGTGACCAAATACTTATTTTCCACCATAATTTGCAAATAAATTCATTAAAAATCCTACAATGTGAGTTTCTGGATTTTTTTTCTTCTCAATTTGTCTATCATAGTTGACGTGTACCTATGATGTAAATTACAGGCCTCTCTCATCTTTTTAAGTGGGAGAACTTGCACAATTGGTGGCTGACTAAATACTTTTTTTCCCCACTGTAAAGATCATTGGCTGCCAACCTGTCTATACTGGGTAGTTACAATATGATGTAATTATAATAGTTACAGTATGAATGTCTATGTGTCGAAACATGAACTAAAACAGTCTGGCATGTATCAGCACTCGTAGTATGTGAATTAGTGGAACTTTGCTGCATGTTCTGAACCCTCTGGATGCAGTAATAATAACTTTGCTCTGCTGGATCTATAAGTCCAGTCCAGATCCCTGGCCTCTCGCCTCTCTTTAATGCACCAAATGTAATTAGGACACACACACACACACACACACACACACACACACTATCTCCTCTGATGTGATGATGATGAGGCAGTCTAGAGTTCAGTTCAGAGACGGGATCAGACTCTGACACTCTGTGAAACAAATTGGCCCTCCTGAGTAGTAAGCAAAGAGTCAGCACTCTCACTCTCTGCAAGATCATTATTTTGGGCCAATCACAGAGAATGTAGGCAGCAGCCATAGAGATCTGAACATACTGTGGTGGATCAGATTATACACTGCTCAAAAAAATAAAGGGAACACTAAAATAACACATCCTAGATCTGAATGAATGAAATCATCTTATTAAATACTTTTTTCTTTACATAGTTGAATGTGCTGACAACAAAATCACACAAAAATTATCAATGGAAATCAAATTTATCAACCCATGGAGGTCTGGATTTGGAGTCACCCTCAAAGTTAAAGTGGAAAACCACACTACAGGCTGATCCAACTTTGATGTAATGTCCTTAAAACAAGTCAAAATGAGGCTCAGTAGTGTGTGTGGCCTCCACGTGCGTGTATGACTTCCCTACAACGCCTGGGCATGCTCCTGATGAGGTGGCGGATGGTCTCCTGAGGGATCTCCTCCCAGACCTGGACTAAAGCATCCGCCAACTCCTGGATAGTCTGTGGTGCAACGTGGCGTTGGTGGATTGAGCGAGACATGATGTCCCAGATGTGCTCAATTGGATTCAGGTCTGGGGAACGGGCGGGCCAGTCCATAGCATCAATGCCTTCCTCTTGCAGGAACTGCTGACACACTCCAGCCACATGAGGTCTAGCATTGTCTTGCATTAGGAGGAACCCAGGGCCAATCGCACCAGCATATGGTCTCACAAGGGGTCTGAGGATCTCATCTCGGTACCTAATGGATGTCAGGCTACCTCTGGCGAGCACATGGAGGGCTGTGCGGCCCCCCAAAGAAATGCCACCCCACACCATGACTGACCCACCGCCAAACCGGTCATGCTGGAGGATATTGCAGGCAGCAGAACGTTCTCCACGGCGTCTCCAGACTCTGTCAAGTCTGTCACATGTGCTCAGTGTGAACCTGCTTTCATCTGTGAAGAGCACAGGGCGCCAGTGGCGAATTTGCAAATCTTGGTGTTCTCTGGCAAATGCCAAACGTCCTGCACGGTGTTGGGCTGTAAGCACAACCCCCACCTGTGGACGTCGGGCCCTCATACCACCCTCATGGAGTCTGTTTCTGACCGTTTGAGCAGACACATGCACATTTGTGGCCTGCTGGAGGTCATTTTGCAGGGCTCTGGCAGTGCTCCTCCTGCTCCTCCTTGCACAAAGGCGGAGGTAGCAGTCCTGCTGCTGAGGTTGTTGCCCTCCTACGTCCTCCTCCACGTCTCCTGATGTACTGGCCTGTCTCCTGGTAGCACCTCCATGCTCTGGACACTACGCTGACAGACACAGCAAACCTTGCCACAGCTCGCATTGATGTGCCATCCTGGATGAGCTGCACTACCTGAGCCACTTGTGTGGGTTGTAGACTCCGTCTCATGCTACCACTAGAGTGAAAGCACCGCCAGCATTCAAAAGTGACGAAAACATCAGCCAGGAAGCATAGGAACTGAGAAGTGGTCTGTGGTCACCACCTGCAAAACCAGTCCTTTATTGGGGGTGTCTTGCTAATTGCGTATAATTTCCACCTGTTGTCTATTCCATTTGCACAACAGCATGTGAAATTTATTGTCAATCAGTGTTGCTTCCTAAGTGGACAGTTTGATTTCACAGAAGAGTGATTGACTTGGAGTTACATTGTGTTGTTAAAGTGTTCCCTTTATTTTTTTTAGTATTGTATATTAGGTGGGAGAAATCCTGGTAATGTCATAAATCTGGGAAATCGGTTAGAAGGTGGGAAGCTGAGCCTCAGCAGCAAAAGCTCAGCATTGTGATGTTAATCTAAATGTCCAGAAGAAAGAAGAAAAGAACACCACTTCAATTTACACAGCTGTATTATATTTACATTTGATCTCCTCTTCTCATTCCTCAAAACACACACACACACACACACACACACAGCTATGTCTTACTATACCTTTTGGGGACCAACAATTGATTCCCATTCAAAAACCTATTTTCCCTAACCCCTAACCTTTACCCTAACCCTAACCATCACCTTAACCCTAACCTTAACCCCTAACTCCTAAATGTCCTCACTTTTCTGAAATTTAGTTGATTTACTGTTCTTGTGAGGACTTTTGGTAATCACAAGTATAGTAAAACATGTACACACACACAAACAAACACACACACACACACACAATCCTATTTTCTGCAGAGGAGTTGTGAATCCTAAGAGCATTGGATACGGGCGTTATAAATCTGTATGGATTTACAGTACAGCAGCCTCAGAGTCTGGCTTTACTTGGCTGGACACACGTTCTGGTGTATCCTGAAGATTATCCATCGTTTAACATAATTTACACTGAGTCATAACTCAAACAACAGCTAATAGAATTGCCTTACTAAATTCAAATTAGTTTGGGTTGCAGCTAGTACATTGTGTGTGTGTGTGTGTGTGTGTACAGTATGTACAGTGAGGGAAAAAAGTATTTGATCCCCTGCTGATTTTGTACGTTTGCCCACTGACAAAGACATGATCAGTCTATAATTTTAATGGTAGGTTTATTTGAACAGTGAGAGACAGAATAACAACAAAAAAATCCAGAAAAACGCATGTCAAAAATGTTATAAATTTATTTGCATTTTAATGAGGGAAATAAGTATTTGACCCCTCTGCAAAACATGACTTAGTACATGGTGGCAAAACCCTTGTTGGCAATCATAGAGGTCAGACGTTTCTTGTAATTGGCCACCAGGTTGCACACATCTCAGGAGGGATTTTGTCCCACTCCTCTTTGCAGATCTTCTCCAAGTCATTAAGGTTTCGAGGCTGACGTTTGGCAACTCGAACCTTCAGCTCCCTCCACAGATTTTCTATGGGATTAAGGTCTGGAGACTGGCTAGGCCACTCCAGGACCTTAATGTGCTTCTTCTTGAGCCACTCCTTTGTTGCCTTGGCTGTGTGTTTTGGGTCATTGTCATGCTGGAATACCCATCCACGACCCATTTTCAATGCCCTGGCTGAGGGAAGGAGGTTCTCACCCAAGATTTGACGGTACACGGCCCCGTCCATCGTCCCTTTGATGCGGTGAAGTTGTCCTTTCCCCTTAGCAGAAAAACACCCCCAAAGCATAATGTTTTCACCTCCATGTTTGATGGTGGGGATGGTGTTCTTGGGGTCATAGGCAGCATTCCTCCTCCTCCAAACACGGCGAGTTGAGTTGATGCCAAAGAGCTGGATTTTGGTCTCATCTGACCACAACACTTTCACCCAGTTCTCCTCTGAATAATTCAGATGTTCATTGGCAAACTTAAGACGGGCCTGTATATGTGCTTTCTTGAGCAGGGGGACCTTGCGGGCGCTGCAGGATTTCAGTCCTTCACGGCGTAGTGTGTTACCCATTGTTTTATTGAGGGAGATTGACAGTTCTTTTGTGTTTCTTCCATTTGCGAATAATCTGTTGTCACCTTCTCACCAAGCTGCTTGGCGATGGTTTTGTAGCCCATTCCAGCCTTGTGTAGGTCTACAATCTTGTCCCTGACATCCTTGGAGAGCTCTTTGGTCTTGGCCATGGTGGAGAGTTTGGAATCTGATTGATTGATTGCTTCTGTGGACAGGTGTCTTTTATACAGGTAACAAATTGAGATTAGGAGCACTCCCTTTAAGAGTGTGTTCCTAATCTCAGCTCGTTACCTGTATAAAACACACCTGGGAGCCAGAAATCTTTCTGATTGAGAGGGGGTCAAATACTTATTTCCCTCATTAAAATGCAAATCAATTTATAACATTTTTGACAGGCGTTTTTCTGGATTATTTTGTTGTTATTCTGTCTCTCACTGTTCAAATAAACCTACCATTAAAATTATAGACTGATCATTTCTTTGTCAGTGGGCAAACTTACAAAATCAGCAGGGGATCAAATCCTTTTTTCCCTCACTGTATGGGCATGTGGGTACACACCTGCACGTGTGTGTGTCTGTTAGCCTATATTTACCCCATAAATGATGAATAGATTTCAGTCCTCCATAGCCCCTCATACAGTATCTATCCAGGGCTTCTTCATTCCTCTCTCCTCAGTAAAGTTGCTAAGTGGCTCCTAGCCTGCCCTACACAGAAGTGCAGACTCTGGGTCCTAGACATGGGGTGACCAGTGGGGCCCTGGCCAGAGCTTCAACAGGAGCAGAGACTAGTGATGGGGAAAATGTTTTATACAGTTATGTTTGGACGATATTATATCGATATTTGACTCCAAGTATCAAAAAGTTGGCTGTACTTGCACCAAAACGTAGTTTTAAATAGTGAGCCAACATGTTTTCAGCACTTTAATTTCCATGACTGATCAAAACTAATTTTCTCATGCTCTCTCTTGTCTCTCTGCAGCAGACATATGGTGAGCAATATGTTTGGAACATCGAATCGCAATAAAATCCCAGTATTGAATCGCAATACATATAGAATTGTGAAAATTGTGGTAATCGTAATACATATCGTATCGGCACCTAAGTATCGTGATAATATCGTATTGTGAGGTCCCTGGAAATTCCCAGCCCTAGCAGAGACAGATGGTCTTGGGACAGACATGGACCCTCCAGTACCTGACTGACCACATCTTCAGTCACCGGAGGAACAGCAGGGCTCAGGGAAACAGACTGAGAAATGGAAGGTAAATTTAATGTACAGTCAGTTGTACATGCTGCTGTTTCTGTATTCAAGCCTGTAGCAGCATTTTTTTTTACACTTAATCTCCACGTCATGACACACTGTACAGCATTATACTTGAAAGCACAGCGTTGCTGCACGTCCTTATGCAGCATTACCCCTACACCTATATTCCAATATGGACCATAGGCAAAACACAAACAGCTAATAAACAAACTCTTAATCCGTGACATTTTTGATTAACTGTATGTGACCACTGTGGTAATGGGTGGTGTTGTTTCATTCCATATTCCCCACAAAGCATCAGGACTGAGCTGTCCATGAAATCCAGGGGATTACAGGCCAATGATTACTGGCTCAACACCACCACAGGATCAGGGCAGGGCCAGTGCACCACCAAACACTCCCACTTTGGGAAAGGCCAATACTGTAGCCCTGTGTCTCATTCTACATCAGGGCCAGGATTAATTTAAACAATGCTGGTTAACAACTAGCAGCAGGCCAGAGCCTCTTTGAATTACAAACAGTAAAATACACAGAACCTACTATTAACTTAGTTTCTATCCTTTTGTCTCAAAACCTACATACAGTGAGGGAAAAAAGTATTTGATCCCCTGCTGATTTTGTACATTTGCCCACTGACAAAGACATGATCAGTCTATAATTTTAATGGTAGGTTTATTTGAACAGTGAGAGACAGAATAACAACAAAAAAATCCAGAAAAACGCATGTCAAAAATGTTAAAAATTGATTTGCATTTTAATGAGGGAAATAAGTATTTGACCCCTCTGCAAAACATTACTTAGTACTTGGTGGCAAAACCCTTGTTGGCAATCACAGAGGTCAGACGTTTCTTGTAGTTGGCCACCAGGTTTGCACACATCTCAGGAGGGATTTTGTCCCACTCCTCTTTGCAGATCTTCTCCAAGTCATTAAGGTTTTGAGGCTAACGTTTGGCAACTCGAACATTCAGCTCCCTATACAGATTTTCTATGGGATTAAGGTCTGGAGACTGGCTAGGCCACTCCAGGACCTTAATGTGCTTCTTCTTGAGCCACTCTTTTGTTGCCTTGGCCGTGTGTTTTGGGTCATTGTCATGCTGGAATACCCATCCACAACCCATTTTCAATGCCCTGGCTGAGGGAAGGAGGTTCTCACCCAAGATTTGACGGTACATGGCCCCGTCCATCGTCCTTTTGATGTGGTGAAGTTGTCCTGTCCCCTTAGCAGAAAAACACCCCCAAAGCATAACGTTTCCACCTCCATGTTTGACGGTGGGGATGGTGTTCTTGGGGTCATAGGCAGCATTCCTCCTCCTCCAAACACGGCGAGTTGAGTTGATGCCAAAGAGCTGGATTTTGGTCTCATCTGACCACAACACTTTCACCCAGTTCTCCTCTGAATCATTCAGATGTTCACTGGCAAACTTCAGACGGGCCTGTATATGTGCTTTCTTGAGCAGGGGGACCTTGCGGGCGCTGCAGGATTTCAGAGTTCCACGGCGTAGTGTGTTACCAATTGTTTTCTTGGTGACTATGGTCCCAGCTGCCTTGAGATCATTGACAAGATCCTCCCGTGTAGTTCTGGGCTGATTCCTCACCGTTCTCATGATCATTTAACTCCTTGAGTTGAGATCTTGCATGGAGCCCTAGGCCGAGGGAGATTGACAGTTATTTTGTGTTTCTTCCATTTGCGAATAATTGCACCAACTGTTGTCACCTTCTCACCAAGCTGCTTGGCGATGGTCTTGTAGCCCATTCCAGCCTTGTGTAGGTCTACAATCTTGTCCCTGACATCCTTGGAGAGCTCTTTGGTCTTGGCCATGGTGGAGAGTTTGGAATCTGATTGATTGATTGCTTCTGTGGACAGGTGTCTTTTATACAGGTAACAAGCTGAGATTAGGAGCACTCCTTTAAGAGAGTGCTCCTAATCTCAGCTCGTTCCCTGTATAAAAGACACCTGGGAGACAGAAATCTTTCTGATTGAGAGGGGGTCAAATACTTATTTCCCTCATTAAAATGCAAATCAATTTATAACATTTTTGACATGCATTTTTCTGGATTTCTTTGTTGTTATTCTGTCTCTCACTGTTCAAATAAACCTACCATTAAAATTATAGACTGATCATTTCTTTGTCAGTGGGCAAACATACAAAATCAGCAGGGGATCAAATACTTTTTTCCCTCACTGTAAACACTTCTTCACTACATTCCTTAGATTTTCCGAGATACAAATTTAGGATCTTAATTAGGCCTATATAATATATACCTTGCAGAAACAGGATAAAAAAAAAAGAGTGATCAAATTAAGATCTTACATCTTTAGAATCTGTTTGGGATCCATATTAAACCAGTTGATTAGATCCAGTTAGAGACAAATGAAACCCCTTGTGTGGCTGCAGCACATTAAAAATAGACTTTCTTCTAATTAATATGCACCACACAGGCAAAGGAGACCCACACAGCAAAGCAACAGGCTAATCAGCAGATCATCAAAGAGCCAAAGGCCACCCAGGTCACGAAGCAAACAGGTAACAGGTGCACATGAAAGAGGTGCACGTGAGAAGTGGCTGAGACATTTTACTAGGCTGATTCAATTAGGCCTAGTAAAGATATCACAAACAGGCAACTAGATTCAGCCGCGGGCTGATTTTTGTCGAAGCGGATGGTCGGAGGGCCGAAACATATTTATAATAATTTGTACACTGCAAATTGACCACAACTAAGCCCAAAAAGAGATTGTTATTTTCAAAAACAATCATTTCATACCATGATTACATTGAGACACGATCACGTCTTTTTTTTTTTTTTTCCTAAATCCTTTTTTTTTTTTTTGCTGAATTCCTGGTGATTTTAGTCATTTTAGACCCCTAAATAAAATTAAAATAATACAAATAAAGAAAATATTTTTGCCAAAAACTTTGGGGTCGTCTGTTGCCGACCCGTTTTAGACTTTGTTACTTGGTTACATTATTTATAATCTTAAACATCCAAAACTAATTATATTGATATTTTACAAAAATTGGATTCACAATAACTGAACTCACATTTTTGGAATGCTTGGAATGACAAGTGAAGCGGACACAAACAGTGACTGTGCGACCACAGCGGTTCCTGCCAACAGCGTGTGAAGCAGCTAATCTAACTAGTGAATGAACTGCTGGCCCCCCCGGGCTCGGAGGGCACAGATTGTCCTGCACTGTGTGATGAGAGAGCAGCCTGGCTCACTCAGGGATGCACATGTGCCGAGCTCAGGGCATTTTTCTTATTCCCTAGCTTAGCACCGGATTTGCCCTCCACAATGGGGTCGTGTCCGCAGCAGCGTCTGACCCTGGCCTGAACCCCTCTGCCTCTGCTGACACACACATGTACGTAGCCCCCCCACAAACACAGGCATGTATGCTTGCACACACACACACACACACACACTCCATGCACATTCCACACAGTTACTCTCTGCATGACCCCTATCCGCCCTTTAGAGTGACCCTGTGACCGCTACAGTACCTCACATAGAGTTTGACACAAACAGCAACAAAACAGCAGCTCCCTATCAGCAGGGTAGCAAGATGCACCTCATGTTAATCTACAAATAAAATCTTAATGTGTGACATTACACTAGCCTGTAGGCTAAATTGTGTACAGAACCTCACATTGTGGATTCACAGTAGCCTACACAGTAAAACATGTAAAAGGGCCAATGGCATGACGTGTAAATGTTGGTGGCTGAATGAAATATTTTCCAAAGTCAAGACTTCATGTTTACAAATTTTACATAATGTAACTTTGCCCTTTCTCTTTTATATGAGTCCTAAAAGAGTTAATGGTGAAATGTGAAGAAAAAAAAGTGTTACTTTTGGTGCTCTGAAGTAAAAAAAATGTGGGATTAGGAGCAACCGTCCGAAGGCAAAGGTAATGTAGATAAATGTTAATAAAACATCTTAAATCATAATAAACCTGGCAAAAGATTATTCTGGCATGATTTTGTAAGGGTGTATACCACTATACTGCTATATGGGTAAGATAGTTTATGCAGAAAGGTTTTAAATACTTTAAATACTTTTGTCTGGAAAAATGTCCTTCATGATTATCGTTTGGTGCAACTGACAAAAGTCACAATTTTGGATCAAATCACATGATGATACTCATGTGACAGGATGTGACATCATGAAGATGCCTGTGAGAGACCCTCAATCATCATTCGGTCCAACCGCTAAAAAACAATAAAAAATGTGAATTATTGGACAACCTTACATTTTATTTGAATACTTAAGATACACACTTGAGGTCAAAGTCAAGTTTTCACATGGGTGCACAAGCAGTCGCCTGTAAAGCATGTTTATGTGAGAAAAGTCATACGTACAACCAGTGTTTTTAATGTAGCTCAATTGGTAGAGCATGGCGCTTGTAACGCCAGGGTAGTGAGTTCGATCCCCGGGACCACCCATACGTAAAAATGTATGCGCACATGACTGTAAGTCACTTTGGATAAAAGCATCTGCTAAATGGCATAATATTATTATTATTATTATTAAAAAACAATGACATTATTTTATTGTCTAAAAAATCCAGAGAGAAGCTCAGCCGATAACAGAAATGTTTTTGTTCAATTTCATATGGTTTTCATTTCCCTAACATAAGTTGTAGTTAACAGTCATTCAAAATGAGGGGTTGCCCAGTGAAATGTGAAAAAAAATGTGTGTGTAACTTCTAACCTCATAGATGTTGAATATTTTAGACTAATTGTATATCACGTACAATATTAATTAATATGCCTTGTTTAACTGATTGTTTAACTGATTTTTGTACTTATATTTGTGGTGTGGTTTTCATTTAAGCCCTTTTGGGCTTTTAACCTTACCTGCACACAGTTTTTACCAGTTTTTTTTATCTGTACTGTTTTGTCTTACACTTCTTTTTTTTTTACATTCATGGTTGCACCGAATGACTAAATGTAACAATCTTATAACAATCATATTTTTAACAATTATGTATTGCAACAAACCTTGAAACTGCATATGTAACACTCTAAGGGGAACATCAAAAGTGTAATAGAGTTTTAGCTGTAGTATGGTTTTTGTATCAAAAGTGAAAAAATTTAATTCTGTTGACATTTCTTTCTCTCACCTTTGACCCAAATACCGTCCTACAGCTCAAACTGTATTACAGCATGACACTAGTCTGAGGTGTGAGTGAGTGACATCAGTGGACAAAAGTCTCTACCTCTTTGTGCTCCTGAAGCACGGCGTTGAGCCTTTCGCTCTCGTTGGATGCGTTGGACGCCACCGAGCGGCTCAGCTTCAGATCCGTCTGCAGCTCCAACAGCCGGCCCATGTAGAAGGCTTCCTTAGACGCCGACTCCTGCAGCAGCGACTCCTCATTGCTCTCGCCATCCTCCGCCACCTTACGCTGATTGGAGTAGGCCTGGCCAAACGCCTGGGGAGGCAGAGAGGGAGTAGATTAGAATGAGATACAGTAGTTTGTCTGTTTGGTTAGAAAGGAATTTGTCTTCAAGAGGAGGAGAGTTAGCTGCGGTGCAGCGTCCGTAGATAGAAAGCTATTTTTGGGGTTAAGTGTCTTGATCAAGGGCACAACGGTAGAGGTAGATGATCTGACACCAGCATCCCTGAAGTAGCCATTTCAGTCCATGGATATGGTTGTGGAGGAGACTATGTCCCCTGTGGCCACCAGGGACCTTCTTATCACCCATAAAGCTCCAAGGTTGTCCCTCCCCGCCTCAAGGGTTTTGTGCGGTGATATTTCAGCCCCTGTCTCTGATCGATAGACACTGTGTTGCCATTTTCCTGACACAGGTTTTCACACAGTGCTTTGAGCTGACTTGTCATGACAAAGGAATCCTGGCTTGATGCTTGATTGAGGGAATGACAGCAGTGATCAACAACAGCCAATGACCCCTGGATACCAGCCATGTTGGAAAGGTGGATCCTGTTCACACTTGTAACGGCTACCTCTACAGCACCAGGGTTGTATTCATTATGCACCAAACGGAAGGAAACAGACTGAAACAGGATTACCTGGACAAAAATATGAACACAAAGTGTAAAGTGTTGATCCCATGTTTCGTGAGCTGAAATAAAAAATCACATACATTTTCCATACGAATAAAAAGCTTATTTCTCTCAAATTGTGTGCACAAATGTCTTTACATCCCTGTTAGTGAGCATTTCTCCTTTGTCAATATAATCCATCCACCTGACAGGTGTGGCATATCAAGAAGCTGATTAAACAGCATGATTATTACACAGGTGCACCTTGTGCTGGGGACAATAAAAGGCCACTCTAAAATGTGTAGTTTTGTCACACAACACAATGCCACAGATGTCTCAAGTTTTGAGGGAGCGTGCAATTGGCATGCTGACTGCAGGAATGTCCACCAGAGCTGTTCCCAGAGAATTTAATGTTAATTTCTCTACCATAATCTGCCTCTAACATCATTTAAAAGAATTTGGCAACCGGCCTCACAACCGCAGACCACGTGTAACCACGCCTGCCCTCCACATCCGGCTTCTTCACCTGCGGGATTGTCTGAGGGCGGGTGTGGGGGTGCTTCTGAGGGCGGGTGGAGGAGTATTTCTGTTTGTAATAAAGCCCTTTTGTGGGGGAAAACACATTCGGATTGACTGCGCCTGCCCACCCAGCCCAGTCATGTGAAGTCCATAGATTAAGGTCTAATACATTTATTTCAATTGACAGATTTCCTTATATGAACTGTAACTCAGTAAAATCTTAGAAATTGTTGCATGTTGCGTTTATATTTTTGTTCAGTATAAAAAGGTTATATGTAATGCCAGGTCAAGTGCAGAAGATTAGAGTATGAAAATAAATCAGAATGTACTTGGTTGTCTACTGTTACTATACATCACAGGCTCCATGTCCCATGGGTATAAAAAAAAGTCAGAACATTCCTGTGATGGGAGTTATCAAATCAAATCAAATTTTATTGGCCACATGCGCCGAATACAACAGGTGCAGACATTACAGTGAAATGCTTACTTACAGCCCTTAACCAACAGTGCATTTATTTTAAATAAAAAAGTAGAAAAAAACAACAAAAAAGTGTTGAGAAAAAAAGAGCATAAGAAAAATAAAATAACAGTAGGGAGGCTATATATACAGGGGGGTACCGGTGCAGAGTCAATGTGCGGGGGCACCGGCTAGTTGAGGTAGTTGAAGTAATATGTACATGTGGGTAGAGTTAAAGTGACTATGCATAAACAATTAACAGAGTAGCAGCAGCGTAAAAAGATGGGGTGGGGGGTGGGGGGTGGGGGGTGGGGGGCAGTGCAAATAGTCTGGCCATGATTAGCTGTTCAGGAGTCTTATGGCTTGGGGGTAGAAGCTGTTGAGAAGTCTTTTGGACCTAGACTTGGCACTCCGGTACCGCTTGCCGTGCGGTAGCAGAGAGAACAGTCTATGACTAGGGTGGCTGGAGTCTTTGACAATTTTGAGGGCCTTCCTCTGACACCGCCTGGTATAGAGGTCCTGGATGGCAGGAAGCTTGGCCCCAGTGATGTACTGGGCAGTACGCACTACCCTTTGTAGTGCCTTGCGGTCGGAGGCCAAGCAGTTGCGATACCAGGCGGTGATGCAACCAGTCAGGATGCTCTCGATGGTGCAGCTGTATAATTTTTTGAGGATCTGAGGACCCATGCCAAATCTTTTCAGTCTCCTGAGGGGGAATAGGCTTTGTCGTGCCCTCTTCACGACTGTCTTGGTGGGTTTGGACCATGATAGTTTGTTGGTGATGTGGACACCAAGGAACTTGAAGCTCTCAACCTGTTCCACTACAGCCCCGTCGATGAGAATGGGGGCGTGCTCAGTCCTCTTTTTTTTCCTGTAGTCCACAATCATCTCCTTTGTCTTGGTCACGTTGAGGGAGAGGTTGTTATCCTGGCACCACACGGCCAAGTCTCTGACCTCCTCCCTATAGGCTGTCTCATCGTTGTCGGTGATCAGGCCTACCACTGTTGTGTCGTCGGCAAACTTAATGATGGTGTTGGAGTCGTGCCTGGCCATGCAGTCATGGGTGAACAGGGAGTACAGGAGGGGACTGAGCACGCAACCCTGAGGGGCCCCCGTGTTGAGGATCAGATGTGGCAGATGTGTTGTTACCTACCCTTACCACCTGGGGGAGGCCCGTCAGGAAGTCCAGGATCCAGTTGCAGAGGGAGGTGTTTAGTCCCAGGATCCTTAGCTTAGTGATGAGCTTTGAGGGCACTATGGTGTTGAATGCTGAGCTGTAGTCAATGAATAGCATTCTCAAGTAGGTGTTCCTCTTGTCCAGGTGGGAAAGGGCAGTGTGTAGTGCAATAGAGATTGCATCATCTGTGGATCTGTTGGGGCGGTATGGAAATTGGAGTGGGTCTAGGGTTTCTGGGATAATGGTGTTGATGTGAGCCATGACCAGCCTTTCAAAGCACTTCATGGCTACAGACGTCAGTGCTACGGGTCGGTAGTCATTTAGGCAGGTTATCCTAGTGTCCTTGGGCACGGGGACTATGGTGGTCTGCTTAAAACATGTTGGTATTACAGACTCAGTCAGGGACATGTTGAAAATGTCAGTGAAGACACTTGCCAGTTGGTCAGCACATGCTCGGAGTACACGTCCTGGTAATCCGTCTGGCCCTGCGGCCTTGTGAATGTTGACCTGCTTAAAAGTCTTACTCACATCGGCTACGGAGAGCGTGATCACATAGTCATCCGGAACAGCTGGTGCTCTCATGCATGCTTCAGTGTTGCTTGCCTCGAAGCGAGCATAGAAGTGGTTTAGCTCGTCTGGAAGTCTTGTGTCACTGGGCAGCTCGCGGCTGTGCTTCCCTTTGTAGTCTGTAATAGTTTTCAAGCCCTGCCACATCCGACGAGCGTCAGAGCCGGTGTAGTACGATTCAATCTTAGTCCTGTATTGACTCTTTGCCTGTTTGATGGTTCGTCGGAGGGCATAGCGGGATTTCTTATAAGCGTCCGGGTTAGAGTCCCGCTCCTTGAAAGCGGCAGCTCTACCCTTTAGCTCAGTGCGGATGTTTCCTGTAATCCATGGCTTCTGGTTGGGGTATGTACGTACGGTCACTGTGGGGACAACATCATCGATGCACTTATTGATGAAGCCAGTGACTGATGTGGTATACTCCTCTATGCTATCTGAAGAATCCCGGAACATGTTCCAGTCTGTGCTAGCAAAACAGTCCTGTAGCTTAGCATCTGCGTCATCTGACCACTTTTTTATTAACCGAGTCACTGGTGCTTCCTGCTTTAGTTTTTGCTTATAAGCAGGAATCAGGAGGATAGAGTTATGGTCAGATTTGCCAAATGGAGGGCGAGGGAGAGCTTTGTATGCGTCTCTGTGTGTGGAGTAAAGGTGGTCTAGAGTTTTTTTTCCTCTGGTTGCACATTTAACATGCTGGTAGAAATGAGGTAGAACGGATTTAAGTTTCCCTGCATTAAAGTCCCCGGCCACTAGGAGCGCTGCCTCTGGATGAGCGTTTTCCTGTTGACTTATGGCCTTATACAGCTCATTCAGTGCAATCTTAATGCCAGCATTGGTTTGTGGTGGTAAATAGACAGCTATGAAAAATATAGATGAAAACTCTCTTGGTAAATAGTGTGGTCTACAGCTTATCATAAGATACTCTACCTCAGGCGAGCAAAACCTTGAGACTTCCTTAGAATTTGATTTTGTGCACCAGCTGTTGTTTACAAATATACACAGACCGCCACCCCTTGTCTTACCGGAGTCAGCCGTTCTATCCTGCCGATGTAGCGTATAGCCCGCTAGCTGTATGTTGTCCATGTCGTCGTTCAGCCACGACTCGGTGAAACATTATTATTATTATTATTATTATTTATTTTTTTGTCATTTAGCAGACGCTCTTATCCAGAGCGACTTACATGAGCAATTAGGGTTAAGTGCCTTGCTCAAGGGCACATCGACAGATTTTTCACCTAGTCGGCTCGGGGATTAGAACCAGCGACCTTTCGGTTACTGGCACAACGCTCTTAACCACTAAGCTACATAAGATATTACAGTTTTTAATGTCCCGTTGGTAGGATAACCGTAATCTTAGGTCATCCAATTTATTCTCAAATGATTGAAGATTGGCTAATAGGATTGATGGGAGAGGCAGTTTACTCGCTCGCCGTCGGATCCTTACAAGGCACCCCGACCTACGTCCACGATATCTCTGTCTCTTCCTCATGCGAATGACGGGGATTTGGGCCTTATCAGGTGTCTGTAGGATATCCTTTGCCGCCGCCTCGTTGAAGAAAAAATCTTCGTCCAATACGAGGTGAGTAATCGCTGTCCTGATATCCAGAAGCTCTTTTTGGTTATAAGAGATGATGGCAGAAACATTATGTACAAAATAAATTACAAATAACGCGGAAAAACACACATAATAGTACAATTGGTTAGAGGGCTGTAAAACGGCAGCCATCTTCTCCGGCGCCATTTCTGTGACAAGAGGCTTCTTGTCACAGAAAGGAATCAATTTAGGTCAGGGGTGTCAAACTCATTCCATGGAGGGCCTAGTGCAGGGGTGTCAAACTCATTTTAGCTCAGGGGCCAGATGGAGGAAAATCTATTCCCAAGTGGGCCGGACCGGTAAAATCATGGTATATATAACTTAAAAACAACAACTTCAGATTGTTTTCTTTGTTTTAATACGATCAACATAAAACATAAAGCTGGAGCCT